GTGGTAATATGCTTAGTAGACAGATTGGCAACCTCAGTTTTTTTTAATTATTTTAGATGTTATCAGCAAGATTTCCATCTCTTGTTTTATATCTCACCATACGAAACACAACAGCTTAACGCTGCTGTGTTTCGTATGGTGAGTGTAGAGAACTGAAGACCTTTTTTACTGGAAACGAGCCATTCCAACGTAGTCCTCAGGTGTGACAACGCACCTGCATTTTGATTCCTAATCAAAGATAAATGTAGATATCTATGGGCTACAGCATCAACTTGCCATCAGATGGAATGTGCGCTCGTTTATCACCCCATTCATTAAAAAAAATTGAGATTTTACTGTTATGTCAGATTCGTAATCTATTATAGGTTGGATTACATTTTGTTAATTTTTTTTAGATTTTTTTCTAGTTTTATTTAAGAAAATTTATAAGCTTATTAATCACCAGAAAAGTATTGCTACACGTCAAAACAAAAACATGTGTTGTGTGTGATTAGATAAATTTCTATTACCGCAGTACTGACTGACTTACGAGGGTGACACTGAAAGTTCTTAGAAATCAAAAACTGAACAAACTAGCAGGTTATTAATTTTATTATATCTTTTCAAAATAGTGTCCACATTTACATCAATACATCGGCGCATCCGATAGAACCACTTAGAAAAGCACTTTGGCCACTCATCCTTAAGGGTTTCTTCGACGGCATTTTGAAATGTAGCCACTGCTTCCTCGATGTCCATAAAATGTTTTGTTCGAAGTTTTTCTTTTATTTTTGGTAATAAATAAAAATCGGAAGGTCGGGGCTATGGGGCGGGTGACCCACGTCTGAAGTCGCCAAGTAGTCGATTGTTTGCTTGGTGGTGTGCAACGAGGCGTGGTCGTAGTGAAGGAGGATCCTACTGCGAGGAGGTTTCTCCTCAAACGTTTTCCAAGACAAGTGGAAAACAATTGTTAGTGTACCGCTCTGCAGTTACTGTTTTTCTATCCTCTAAAACAATTGTTGCGTCTTCATCAATCATCTTTTTTCCCACACTTCGACCTCTCTTCACTTTAGTTGGCAACTCCTCGGAAGGAAACACAGACAGCAGACTGTCTCTTAGTTTCAGGATCATAAAAATAATCCAGCTTTCGTCACCCGTATGTATATTGAACACAGCATTTGAGTCACCTCCGTTAAATCTTTGAACCATTTCACGAAACCAATCAACACGACGGAGTTTTTAGGCCTCTGTCAAATTATGAGGTATCCACCGGGCACAAAGCTTCCTGACCGCTAATTATTCATGGAGGATTTTGTGCACTTGACTCTTTTGTCAGTCTCTATCATACACCGCACAGCACTGATGTTTTCTTCAGTCGTCGCCGTAGAAGGCCGTCCCTCACGCAAATCGTCAGTGAGATTAGTATGACCACGTCTAAACTCATTAAGCCAATTGTAAGCAGTAGCACGACATGGGGCTTAATTTTTTTATAGGATAGTGTGACAAACGAGCACACACACAGTCCACCTGATGGTAATTGGTTGCTATGACCCATAGACATCTACATCTATCGTCGATTACGAATCAAAATTCAGATGCGTTATCACCCGTGAGGACTAAGATGCAATGCCTCGTTTCCAGTCAAAAAGGTCTCCGATTCTCGACACTCACCATACGAAACACAGCAGCATAGTGTTGCCCAAATGCAAGAACAAGACGAGACTTAGCCGGTCTTGGTCTTGGTCTTGCGCCAATACATCTGTTCTTGTTCTTGGTCTTGGTATTGCGCTCTCAGTCCTTGTTCTTGGTCTTGGCCTTGCAGCAAGAGTCTCGGTTAATTACGTATTAGCCTATTGTTATTTATTAAACGTTACTTTAGATCTTAGAACAACTTAACAGAGTAGGCACATTTTGAGCTTGAATTAACATAGCCATAGAAAGACCAACCAAATTAATAAATGTCTAAACATTTAATGAGAAATTCGAAAAATCAACTAATACCGGGTGGGGTTTGAACCCACGACCTAAGCGATCTGTGCCGATGCTCTAACCAACTGAGCTGTCTACCAAGTCTCACGGCCACGGGAGTTAGTCTGTTTCTTAAACGTTTACACTTTTAATAAGCTTACATGTGCTAAAACTTAGTCAAAACAAATTAATGACATTAACTTGACTGTATTATAAAGAACATTATCTGTCTAGAAAGAGATTGATAGACCCTTATATGAAATGGAATAAAAGAGTTATACAATGTACCATTTATTTAAATAAAAAAATAAAATACAATACAAATTAAATTACATAACAGTTACATTTTTTCTTTTGACCCAAGAATTAATACAAAGTAACCATCTGGCTGACTCATCACTTAACCTATTTCTATGTTTTCTAATTACTAATGATGCCTTAGAAAATAATCTCTCAGCAGTAGGGGTTCTGTGTTTGTTTTTTTAGGCATTTTGTCTCGAGCTGCTTGAAAACCCAGAATGAGCCTTTCATCCACTTCGGATCGATTAGGTTTCTCATCTAATTGTTTTATCATGGATTCAATTTTATCGAGCAAGAGATTGAATGATACAATGAATAGCGGTAATGTAACATATTTTTCTCCACCAAGTTTCGTTGATAGAAGTTTAAAGTTTATTAGAAACTTTGTATTTTTTCGAGTATTTGCCATTCACTATTTGTGATTTGAAAATCATTCAATTCGGTGACAGAAGTGCACAATATGTTAATGCCAGTACTCACTTTTAAACCAAATCCAATCATATCATGTGTGGAATTCCATCTCGTTGGGACAGTCGAGTATGGCGTTCAGATTTGATGGCACGCCAGCTGCTTCACAAGCTGACTGAAACTTCCTCTTCAATATCTCACTTTTTTTTTATTTTACTGGAAATACTGCGTAATTTTGTTACAGCTGTACGTGAGTCAGCAATATTTGACGCATATTCTTCATCTTCCTCAGTTTCGTCTTCATTATCTTCATACTGCTGTTCTTGTCCCTTATTGTCAGTTTCACTGTGTAATGCTAAGGTCTTCAATAAATCTTGTACACCGAGGCTCAAAATGTGAGCAAAGCACCGGAAATGTTGTTTGTGATTCCTTTTTGTGGAAAGATATTAGATGCTTCCTTAAGCCTGAAGTTTTTCTGTTTTTCATTTTTATTTCTACCTTTTTATGTTGGTATAATTTACACAAAGCAATTTGGGATGCATGAATTATGTCGAAAAACTCATCAAATTTACTTTTAGGTCTTTTAGATCTATAATTCCAACTCTCACTACTCCGACTAGAACTATTCGACTCTTCGTCACTCATGTCAAATTGTAAACTTATCACTCCGAGAACAACAAGGATTAGAGTAAAAACAATTAATACATTAGACTCGAAGCAAAGCTCAATTGGGAATGACTGGAATTAAAATAAATACTACTATTTGTAAGTACACGCCGAAAGACCGACAAAGGAAAGTTCGGCATCCTTTGATAAAATTAATGATTCTTCAGAAGATTAATAAATTAGATGCGTTGCCAGATAGGTATAGTGTGCCTACGTAAAAATGAAATGTAAATATGTAAATAAAATTGTGTATATTATGTTCTTCTTGTGATTGAATTAAAATCTACGTTAATTAAATTAAATTTGCCTTCACTCGTTTGAAATTCAAAATTCAAATATGTTTTATTCAAGTAGGCACTAAAAATACACTTTTGAATAGTCATATAATCGCTGTTTTCCCCAATTTTTTCTTTTCCATGTCCAGGGGTTCTGATTCTACTGAGAAGAATCATGGAAGAAAGTAAGAAACTCAGTAGTTGCTCTTTTCAAAATATTTTTACAATAGTTCTATAATTATGTACAACGATAAATCAAACATAAAATGTCAAATGTATATGTAGATACCAAATCGGTTTAGAAATTTCTAGTTTGTCCTGTGTAGTACGAGAGGTCAGTTCCAAGCATTTTTGTCTGACTTAAATTGAAAAGGTGAAAGATCTAACATTTCTTTTGGAATCTTATTATAAAAGCGTATATCGCTACCCAAGAACGCATTATATACTTTGTGTAACCGGAAAGCAGGTATTGTGATTTTATTTTTATTTCTACTATTAGAGAAGAGTGTGGTTTGCAAGATGATGTTGTGACCAGGATTAAGAAAGGAATGCTTCGGTGGTTTGGTCATGTGGAAAGAATGAATGAGGAAAGAGTGACAAAGAAAATTTATGGTGCAGAAGTGAATGGCAGAGTCGGAAAGGGACGTCCTAGGCGAAAATTTATCGACAAAATTGGCGATTTATTGAAAACGGGCCAAATTAGGAGTACCCTTAACCGACGAGCATGTATGCGTAGGTGTATGGATGTGAAGGAGGCAAGAGAGGTGTGTCAGGATCGTGCCAAATGGAAGTCTGTAGTCTCTGCCTACCCCTCTGGGTGACAGGCGTGAGTGTTTATGTTATGTTATGTTCTACTATTAAAATTGTGCAAATCACTATTATTTACATCAATTCGATACAATCAATTTCTTTAAACGGTTATCTAAGAGATACTCGGGCTCCTAAAAAGTACATAGATCTTATTTTACGCTTTTTATTTAATATGCACACTTTTTATGTTATTAGATTAGCATAGTACAAAATGTTTACACGTTTCAAGTGTGTTAAAAGTGTCTACAATATTTATCAAATGGGTGACGACATATTCGAACACTTTGTGTTCAAAAACACACACTTCCAAAAATCGAGATTTGCAGTGAACTTATTGAACATGTGTATCTATTAGGTAATAATAATAATAATAATAATAAGGCGTAGGGAAGTGACGACCCCATCGCCCGCTGATATAACGGTTATGTGACAAAACCGCTACGTCGGCGCAGTCAGTCAGCACCTTGCCAAGAGGTGTTAGTGCCGTGCCTCGGCAAAAATTGAAGGTGCCAAGGCCCGCTTGTGCACATGGCCTAACCATGAAACGGCGCCGGGTCTGGGCGTCTCCCGCTAAATAACGCCCTAAAATGGATGATGGAATCAAATGGAACGCGCAAAGGGCCGCTGCCTGGAGGTCGCCAGGGCGCGTCTGGAGCTGGCGCTGGACGCGACAGCATGCGAACCGCCAGCCGAGCGCGAGGTGCTGCACGACCACCCAGCAGCTCCTCGCATCCATCATCCCCACCAGCTGGCTTGGTGTCGGCAGGGTCTTCGCGGGCTCAGCAATCGGCACCCGCCACTGGTGGAGTACGCCGCATGCGTTGGACAACCCAGATGAACAGCAACGCATTGCGGGCGTATTTTAGGGCGAAAGGGGGAGAAACTGGAGGTTTTGCGTATCGGGCAAGGATGCATCGACTTTTTGCTGAGCTGGAGCCATCTGTAATCGTCACCGAGCAAAACCTGGCAGACCGAGTTCGGTATATCTTGCGCTCAAATACATTTGATGTCACCGAACTCGAACGGCTACGACGTGAGGCTGTTCCTTCATCGGGTGAAAATGCTGCGGCTGAGGATGCGGCGCCACAACTTGCTGAGCAAACGGCAAATGTGGATGCCGCCGTGAATACGCCAGTTGTGGTTGATTCAAACGATGATGGAACAGTCGCCCAGGAACTGGAACTAGAGCAAATGAGGAGTACATTGGAAGAGGCGATTGTGGAAACGCGCAGTACGACTCTCGAAAATCGACCGCGACTTCCCCGCTTAGCCCTAAGCAAGCGGAATCGGGCTGTCGTGAGGGCTCTGAACCCAATGCTGGTTACCTATTTGGAAGCCAGCCGGGACCTTTGCGATACGGACTCAATTCTTTTTGGCGCCGCACTGGCAGTCTGCCGTATTATAGGTGCCAAACTTTCCACGGCTGGACGCGCTACTGGACAAAGTAGTGCTATCCCAGCCTGGAGAATAAGAATTGAAGAACGTATCGCAAAGGCTAGGGCCCTCATCGGCAGACTGATATGCTTCAGGTCAGGCAATACCAGGCCAAGGATTGTGCGCACCGTCAGGATGGCGTTTGCTGGGACAAATGTTAGTTTGTCCCAGCCGGATATAATGCAAAAACTGACGGAGCGCATAGACGACCTGAAGCAAAGAATAGCTGCTTGGGGAAAGCGGATTCGGCGATATACCGAGAGGTCGACACGGTTCAACCAGAATCGTCTCTTCCAGAGTGATCAGAAGAGGCTCTATAAATCATTGGAGCGACCAATAGTAAGTGGAACGGGCCCTGCACCAAATCTGGCCGACATGGTCGCATTCTGGCGCAGCCTGTGGTCAGAGCCCGTAAACCACAACGAGGGCCCTTGGACGGAAGTTGTGGCGAGTCAGTGTGCGAGTATTACGCCCATGGACCCCGTCATCATAACGCCGGATGACGTAGCTGAGGCGGTCCGTAGGGCCCCGAACTGGAAAAGTCCGGGGCTTGACGGGCTGCATCACTACTGGCTGAAGGGGTTCATGGTGTGTCACTCTGTGCTCGCCCGACAGTTTCAAGAGGCTCTCAACCAGAAGTCGCTCCCAAGCCTCTTCACTACTGGGATCACTCATTTGGTTCCTAAAGATCAGGGTGCCATAGACCCGAGCAAATACCGCCCCATCACGTGTCTACCGACCATATACAAGACACTAACATCCATTTTGAGCGCAAGAATCGCTCGTCACCTGGACTTAAATCAGGTGATGTCGCGCGCTCAAAATGGATGTCGGGGCGGCGGTCGTGGAACCAAGGAACCACTCCTCATTGACGCGGTCATTGGCAAAGTGGTGAAACGCAACCGTCGGAACTTCTCCGCCGCCTGGATAGATTACAGAAAGGCATTTGACTCGGTGCCCCATACATGGCTAAAGAGGGTCCTCGAGCTGTACAAGATTGACTGTACAGTTCGAGACTTCCTCGAGCAGTGTATGGGGCAGTGGAGTACGATCCTCTGTCATCTAGGCGAGCGGATGACGGCTGCGGAAAGCCGCATAAGGCTAAGAAGGGGTATATTCCAGGGCGACTGTCTGAGTCCAATCTGGTTCTGCCTCACTTTGAACCCTCTCAGTACTTTACTGGAGGGCTCCGGGAGGGGATTTCAGCTTCGGAAAGGAGGTACAAAAGTGACCCACCTTTTCTATATGGATGACCTCAAATTATTCGCCTCCAGTCGCTCCCATCTTATGGAATTGCTAAACATCACGTGTGAATTTAGCAATTCTATTAGAATGGAGCTGGGGACGGATAAGTGTGCGGTCCTCCATGTTGAAAGGGGAAGGGTTGCTAACTCTGAGGGCATAGACTTATCTATGCCCGTCAACTTAAGAACCCTTTCCGAGGCTGAAACATACCGATACCTGGGTATGTCACAGAACATCGGTATCGATGAGGCTGGTATGAAACAGTCAGTTTGCGACGTGTTTTATGCACGCTTGACCAAAGTGCTTAACAGCCTTTTGTCCGGTGTGAATAAGGCACACGCATATAACGGTTGGGTCATGCCTGTCCTCATGTATACCTTTGGCATACTCAGGTGGACTCAGACTGAACTTAACGCCCTGGATAGAAAAGTCCGCACTACCATGACGTCCCATAGGATGCATCATCCGAGATCGTCGGTAATGAGGCTGTACTTGCCGCGGAAGCATGGTGGTCGTGGCTTCTTGAGCGCGCTCACCATGCATAATCGCGAAGTGTGCAGCCTCCGTGATTACTTCCTTGCGAGATCGATGATCCATTCTATAAGGACGTCATTTCTTGTGATAAAGGACTTACCCCTCTATCCTTAGCCAACGAGCAATGGCAAGACCCGGCAGTGCAGAGCATTTCCGACCGGGAGACCGTATGGAAGGAGAAGGAGCTCCACGGGAGGTTCTACAAGGCTCTACATGAGCCTTTCGTAGACACAGTAGCCTCCCTCCACTGGCTACGCTTTGGTGATCTCTTCGGGGAAACCGAGGGTTTTGTCTGTGCAATACAGGATCAGGTTATTAAGACCAACAACTATCGGAGATACATCCTAAAGGATGGCACCGTCGACATCTGTCGAGCTTGTCGCCATCCCGGTGAGTCACTTAGGCATGTTATCTCCGGTTGTTCGGCGCTTTCTAACTCTGAGTACTTGCACAAGCACAACCTAGTAGCCAGAATTCTACACCAGGAGCTCGCTCTGAAATACGGTCTCGTGGATCGGAAATTGCCGTTTTACAAGTACTTGCCGGAAGCCGTGCTCGAAAATGATCGCGCCAGGCTCTATTGGGACCGGGCCATCATCACAGACAGGACTATTCTTGCGAATAAGCCTGATATTGTGCTGATGGACCGGGCACAGTCAAGGATATTTTTGGTCGACATTACCATTCCGTATGACGAGAACCTCGTGAAAGCCGAAACAGGTAAGCAAACAAAATATCTGGACCTGGCTCACGAGGTGACCGACATGTGGGGTGGTCTGCCGACCGAAATTATTCCTGTAGTCGTCTCTGCAAACGGGCTAATCCCAGTCAGCCTCTCGGGTCATCTGAGGCGGCTGGGACTACGTGGCGGACCGCTCCAGGTTCAAATGCAGAAGGCGGTGCTCCTCGATACCGCCCGCATCGTCCGCCGGTTTCTTTCCCTTTCCCCCTAACCCTCGGCCGTTTGGTCTCCCCTGCCGAGGGCCTCCATCTGGTTGGGCTTTTACTTATTTATGTACTTTTATATTTATTTTATGTTATTGATATTTATGTATATTTATCTTTTCATTTTCATTTATAATTATATATTTATAGAACCCAACCAGATGAGAAAACTTTATAGATACCCCACATAATAATAATTGTAAGTAATTATTATAAACCCATATAGTTAATATTATAATAATTACTTACTAGAATAAATTATCATGGTATCTACCTATCCTTACCATTATCTAATTATATTATATACAATATTCCTTGCGAGATTAGCATAATGTATTCGTGTCCATTCTGAGCACCCGTAAACTTATTTTATTCTTTGGAACATGTACTCTGTGGCGGCATTCAAACAGTGTCAAATGTAGTGCGTGCGGCGCGGCGGCGACGATTGAATGCGATATCAATAGAAGCCGCCGGCGCGTGTATCTTGACCTTGTACTTCCGAATAGCTGCAAAATTTCTTTGACAGGTCAGTATTCGACCTTTGATGATGCCGACAACAAGACGCCGCGCACTATCAAAGTGCCGATGGTCAAAACTAGGGATGCACTGTTTTTTCTTTTAATGGATATTTTCATCCGCTATGTATGTTTATAGTATTGTTCGTAATGCGCATAAGTCCAATTTTCCAAATTTTTTTTATATATTTTTTGCGTCTCATAGAGTCCCTAAGCGTATACCCGAACTCCTATACTCCCTGAAACGACACTCATTCCTAACTGCAAGACGCAAGAGTCTCCCAGGCTTAGCCTTGTTCTTGCTCAAATCTTGCACGGTCGGTCTTGGTCTTGGTCTTGCTAAAATTAGGCGGTCTTGTTCTTGGTCTTGGTCTTGCAAAAATGCAAGAACAAGACCAAGACTGCAAGATCAAGACCGATTTTGGGCGACACTAAGCAGCATTAAGCTACTATTTTACGCTGGTATTCTGTGAGAGCACGGTCCTTCCCCGGTCGAGCCGACCCATTCATGCTACAACTATACTACTAATATTACTGCAGCATGGCTCTACTACGTAAATTGTCATCATTGAGTTATATGTACTTCGTACTAGGAGAAGCTATTCCAAACAAAAAATGTGCGCTAATCTATGTATTCGCGCATGCGCGGGAGACAATAGAGTCGCGCATGCGCAGTCAATATAAGCGCATTGTGTCTGCGCGAGCAGTTATTGTCGTCATAGATTATACGTAGATAGAATGATCAGTATGTAAAATTGTTTATTTAGATTATATTATTAATTATATCAAATACATTTTTTTAACCGTCGTTTATTTTGCATATCTACTAATTTACTATAACATAACATAATCACAAACTCACGCCTGTCACCCAGAGGGGTAGACAGAGACTACAGACTTTCATTTAGCACGATCCTGAACGATCCTGACATACCTCTCTCGCTTCCTCCTTATCAATATACCTACGCATACATGCTCGTTGGTTAAGGGTACTCTTAATTTGGCCCATTTTTAATATATCGCCAATTTCGTCGAAACTTTCGCCTAGGGCGTCCCTTTTTGACTCTTCCATTCACTTCTGCAACATATATTTGCTTTGTCGTCTTTCCTCATTCATTCTTTCTACATGACCAAACCATCGAAGCATTCCTTTCTTAATCCTGGTTACAGCATCATCTTGCAAACCACTCTTCTTTTATCAGACAGTGTCTCACCCTGTCACTTAGATTCAGCCCTAACATACTCCTTAGCGACCGTATTTCTACTGCATTTATTCTATTCTCGTGCTTCTTCTGCCATACCCAACTTTCACTACCTTACGTTAAAGTAGGGACTAATACAGCATTGTGCATACGTGCCTTTTTTTGACACATTCTGACTTTTCACAATACGTTCATTCGTCGTTCTATATCCTTATCATATCTCCCTACTGAATACATATTCCAAATATACAAACTCACCTAATTGCTCTACCATCTCCCCTTCTATTATTATTTCACATTATTATATATACATTATTATTTGACTGCCTCGTTGGTCTAGTAGTTGTAGTAGTGCGACTGCTGATCATGAGGTCCTGGGTTCGAATCCCGGGTCGGGTCAAAAATTAATTATTGAGTTTTTCTGTCAACGAAATTCTCAGTAGTTGCTCGGAGTCAGGAAGTTAGCGGTGTCTCACCCCGTGCCTCGGAAAGCACGTAAAGGCCGTTGGTCAAACTGCGCCTGATCTCTCGTCCCGGTCGCTGTCGGTTTACCGTCCCATCGGATTATGAGAGTGAGGGAACAGAGAGTGCACCTGTGCTTGCGCATACACTTGGGCACTATAATCCTGTCCTGCGCCGATGGCTAGCCTCCGTTGAGGCAGGCCGCCGTGGCCGAAATTCGGTCGGGAGGACATTATTATTATTTCACATATCGTTTTAATTTCTTCTCTTTCAAAAACCATAACATTCATCTTACTTGCATTCACTTTTATTCCCCTTTCTTTTAATGACCTGTTCGTTAATGTAACCACTATTTGCAACTCGGCCGCCGACGACGCAAATATGACTTGATCATCGGCGTACAAAAAGCATTGTTAAATATTTTACCTACATTCGGTTGTTTTGTAATGGAACATCTGCATGTTTTAGTCTATGATTGTAGACGGCGTGGCATTTCACTTGTACACCTATTTTTTAACTTGAACAACAAATAAATTTAGTTACTTCACCACTGAACTGTTATTTATGTCTAAGTTCAAACTTTGATTTCAATTTTCTTACTTTAGCGCCGCTATGCACTGCATGAATATCGAAGCCACACTAAATGACACTAAAGTAAATTATACGGATTACAGTACAGTTTAGTTGAACATAGTGAGTGTTCGGAATGCGAAATCTAGTGCGTAGTACATACATATCGATGGGCATCATCGTGAAAGTTCAATCAAAGTCTATCATAACTTTCTTGTTGACATAAATGACATCGAAAGTCATAAAAAATCATTTTA